GATTTAGAGAGCGCATCCACCTGCCAAGCACGTAGCCAAAGCATTCTCCTGGCTACAGCCGTAGAAGCCAGGCCCCTAGAAGCAAAGGAAATAATGTCCAAGGTAGCATCCGCCGTGAAAGAATCGGACTTAAGAGTGCGGGAAATCCCTTCCAGTTATGCGCGGTTGTTTTTTGGGATGAGCTGGAGAAGCTTCCTCAACCAAACTATGGATGCCCTGACAGCGATGGAAGCTGTAGACACCGCTCTGACTATCATGGCAAAGGACTCGTGAATTCTATGAAGAGTTGCTTCAAGCTTCTTATCAGTTGCTTCCCTGAGGTTGCCTAGTCCATCCTCAGACACTAGGCCCGCAGTCTGGAGTGAGGCCACAGGGGCATCCACAGGCGAAACCTGTAACAACTCATCAGCATAATTAGGCATAGCATACAATTTCTTAGTGAAAGCGGGAAACTGCTTGTTAAGCCCAGGCTTGTCCCAACTAGATTGTAACTGGTGTTCGAAGTACTCTGGAAAGGGAAACACCTTCTCCATGCACTCCTCAGGAGGAAAAAACTCCCTGTTGCCACCTGATTTGGATTTAAGCTTAGCCCTGGCTGCCTTCTGATATTCAGCAGGTACATCATGCAGCTCTAGAGCCTTAACTGCCTTAGTTAATAGGTACTGATAGTCCTCAGACTTGAAAAATCTACTGGACAGTTCAGGAAGCTTCAGCTCCTCAGTCTCGTCCTCAGATAAAAACTCACCCTTTTGCCTATCCTCAATAGAAGAGGCATTAGAGTCTAACTCCTCCCCCATTGTTCCTCTGCGGGTCTCTTAGGGAGAGGAGGGGTAGCCTTTTTTGCTGCCGTGGTGGGCCAGCTAGAGGGGTCATTGAAGGACTCGGATGATGGGCCTCCTGCTGTAGAACCACGGGTCTAGTATTTACTTTGGCCATTTCCTGCTGGATACTGTTTAATAAACTCCATCAGCTTGGAAGAGTCAATCAAGACTGCATGGTCCGGGGGCTTACCCGTCTGTGCGCCGCCTTGCTCTGGTTGCACCAGGACTGGACAGGTGGAGAGGCATCCTCCTTCAAGCTCTGCGGCTCCGGGTATCGCCCCTGTAAAAGATCCGAGGCTCGAGGCCGGATCTCCAAGATGGCCACCGCCCACCCGAAGGCGCACCCGGAAAATGGTGGGCTCATCCTCCTCCGGCTGCTGGCGGTGCTTCGGGGTGCTTTGCGCCGCCGCTCCCGTAGCAGATGTTGGAGGCGCACGAGCAAACCGCAAAGGCTTATCAGCCCCAAGGTCTTCCCGTGCTGCCGCCAATGCGGCAAGCGCCTCTCCCTCGTCGCCCAAGGAAAAAACCTTGGGAAGCTCTTTTGCCCCCATAGCGGATGGGGAACTTCTCTTCGGGTCCACGGACCCCTGGAGTCTTCACTCCGAGATCGGAGCAGAAGAAAAAGGAAGAAGTAGAGGAAGAAAAAAGGTGAAACAGGCAAGGCAAAGGCTGTGAAAAAAGAGGAAATTAAGATAAACTCTAAAGTACAGCTAGGACTAGCTAGACTGTGCTGCTTCTCCCTAGTGAGGCAGGAACAGAACTGAGATGGGCTATTCCGGAGGCACCAACAGGAAGGGGAAAAAGCTATTTCCTGCCTCCCTAAAGGCACAGTGGGAATAACCCATGGAGATGTCCTCCACCTCAGAGGGAGAAGATAAATGTCTTGACGCTTAGCCTGTGCAACTGCAGTCCCAATGTGGGGCTGCAGCACTAGAAGTTGGAAGATGAACAAATTTGCTTCATTTATACGCCACCTTTCTCCCCAACAGAGACCCAATCAGCTATCCTCACGACCCTATAAGGTAGGTTCAGCTGAGAGTGTGTGGCTGGCTCAAGGTCACCCAGCAAGCCTCCATAGCCAAGTAGTCAAATTAAAAGCTCAGCCATCAGATGCCAGCTAGATTGGGCTCTGTCCCCACACACCACCAGGGCAGTGTAGCCTCTCCAGATGCTTGTACAGGTGGACAGTTCTATTTCACGTCACCAGCTGGAATCCCATCCCCACACAAGCCTCAAATGCCAACCAGTAGTAGCCATCCCCCATCAGATCAATTTCATGTCCTGTCCAGCCCTCTATAATAAGGCTGCCTTTGAGGGCCCTGAAACACTTTGGAAAGAGGGCGCAAAAGCCCAAACAAAATGGCTTTCCTGGCCCTGGGTAGTAGGAAGGCAGCCCATACTTATGTTCACATTTTGCCATTTGCATCACCATGGCAATGGTCTAGGTAGAGTCCTCATTTTGATCTCTGGGAAAACAAAAAGCAGGTCTGTAATGATTCCATGTTTTGGTGTTCCTTCAAATGTTTTGACTGCAGTAATAATAAGATAGAGGGTGACAAGTGTGATTTGATTGGCTGATGACTGAGAGTGTGGGAGATGTCTGAGGGTGACTCTGAGTTATGAAGGATTCTGTATATGAAGTTTGAAGAGTGAGTAGTCTGTGTGACTATGGGATTTTGAGTGTAATTCTGTGTGAATAAGACCAACAGTTTAGTCTGTGTGACTAAGAGAGTTGATTCCATTCTGCCTGAGTAAAACAAAGAGACTAGCCTGTGTGGCTATATCTATATATATGAGATAGAAATTATACTGAATGTATAAGCCTGTCAGAGTGGAGTTTGAGAGACTGTTTGTAGCACCAAGCTTTGCCAGTTATATTTACAAGTCCCTTTCTTCAGCAACAGTTCAAATTAACCAGAAATCTTTTTTGTTCTTTATTAAATAAACCAATTTTTGTTTAAACTTACCCAAGAAATCAGTACAGTACTTCCTCAGAGCCACATAGTCCTCTGAAATGCCCAGACCCTAGGTGATACTACCAAAAGAGAGATTTGGAATTTTTAATTCCTGGTGGCAGCAGAAAACTACCAAGTTTATATACACAGAGAGTGTTTAAAGGTAAAACTATTTTCCCTATAAGCAAGGATGTCACAAAGTCCCTGAAGGCTGCAACAACCAACAGAAAAATGACTCATGATACTACAGTGCACGTGCTCTTTACATCACCCTCAGGGGAAAAAAAGATTTACCAACTTCTATTCCTTCCCACCCACAGTGGGCTGATAAATGAAAAGAGGTGTTTCACACAGACCTCTCTTAAGGTTCTGAGTAGAATCCTTCAAATGAGTGGCAAGAGAAGGTAGAAATATAGGAGAATATGGATCACTCCCCCCCTCAAAGGTCAGGGCTAGTTGCTCTCTTCACTGGCACTCTTCTGAAATAATGGTGACCTTGATCACCCATCCAAGTAATACATTATTGCCAATAACAGTGGCAGGTTTTAAGAGCAGGCAGGCACACTCAAGCAAGCTGTCAGACCACCAGTCTGAGGAGCCAGCAGTGTCTATTGTGGCTGGTGGAGGTTCTCTGGGGCTTTGGATAGGGTCTTTCACATCCTGTACTACCAAAATCTTTTGGCTGGAGGTGCCTGGGATTGAATCTGGGAGATTCATACATGCAATGAAGGTACTCTACCCACTAAGCCATGCCATTTGACAAGGAGAGCTCCATAGCTTAGCAGTAGAGCACTTTGCATGGGATTGGGTAAAAGTCAGATCATTTTAAACGGATTCTCATGAATTCATATAATTTTTACACTGAAATGAATTAAAACCACCATATTGTAGATCATGTCTTAGCCTATATGCAGCACCACAAAAACCATGCGTCCACCACTTTGCAGCACTATAGACTATGATGAGATCTACAATATGATGGCTTAACACTTCAGCTGATTCCCCACAACTACATTTTTGGCTTCTACTTTGGAAAATGTTTTTTTTACTTACATTAAACTGAGACAAGTAATCAAACTGAAAGGCACTAAACCCTTATTTGTATCAAAAGCAAACTGTCTTAAAAACTCACACACATCAGGAATTTCCTCAGTAAAGACAAGACTGGGTAAGGAGGCTTTCGGTGAATGAAAAGGAGTGAGGAGTCTGGGAAAAGAACATGTTTCATGGGGAGGTTAACAGCACAGGAATGAATTGGTGGTCTTAAAAAAACTGACAAATGGCAATGTCAAATATCACTTTAATATTCCGATTCAGTACTAATTAAAAACAAAGTGAAACACTTAAGAGGAAACAGTTTAAGCCAAAAAGCTAGTAATAGGATAGCACTTATGTCAGCAATATCACAACAAAATTATGGCCAATTACTTCCACAACTAAAATTGGAATAAATTGTAGTTGGATTTTCTGGCATCTTAAACTGTAGCGTTCAATACAGTACACACTAAGAACAGCTATATACATTCATTTTGAAAAAACAGCAAAACACAAATAGTACAGGGACATTTATATACAAGTACTCAAAAATATTCAAACAGACAGTAAAATATTAACAGGGGAAAGACAACTCTGAGAACGTTATTAGAAAGATTTATAAAAGACATTTACACTAATGTAATTCAAATACAGAATGGTGCATTGACTGTACACAACACACTAGCTTCAGAGAAGGACGCTGCTTTTGCCAATGCAGCTATAATATTGTTCACATAATTGTTTTTTTTTAAAACAAAACAAGTCTACTAACAATGATTGTTTTAATGCTACAGTTTACAGCAAGAACTAAAAATAGCAGCAGTTTCACATGGCACGTTGCCACAGGCTTATTCCCTGTGGTCTAAGCAATGCCTAACAAAGTGCTCCCAGTTGAATACATGAGTAAAATTCACAATAAAAAAGGTTACCTGATACCAGGTATGTTTGGCCTGCTGACCATTAGGATCTTCCTACATTTATTCCCTCCATTCCAACTGAACAGTTTACAAACAAGGCCCTTTTAGACAACTAGAAAAAGGCCTTTTATCCTCTTAAAACTAAAAAGCAGCATACCACTATAGTGGTTAACTCTGAATGGTGTAATATACAGTGTTGCTGAAAGGCTTACAAGTTAACCTCCAGCTTCTTTGGGAAATAGGAAAAGCACATATTTAACTGTATTCGGCAAAATTAAAATATGGGCTTCTTAATAAAAACTATTGACAGTGATTAAAAAGAAAACCAGAAACAGAATCCCCCACTTTTGCCCCTAATTTAGTTGAAAAATATTCCATAGTCTTCCTTAAACAGTTTTATGAAGTGTCAGATCAGTATATGGTAAGGCTAACTGAACGGTTCATTTTCTTTCCAGTAAGACGACTTGTTCTGTTCTGTGCTGTAGATCTAGTTGTCATTCGATCTGTAAACTGTGCTCGCTCTTCAGCTGCAGCCTTTGCCATTTGTGCTTTCTTCAGCTCTCTGGAAAAGTAGAAAAACCCTGATATTTTCCTTTCACTTAATATTGCTAAAGGGAAATATATCCAAACAATTCCAAAGATACTAATGAATTCAAAATATAATTAGCCAAAATTATTGTCAAGCTGTAGAATTACATATTATTTATGGTTCTGCAATGGAACTTTTCAACATATCAAACTCATTTTTGTTAAATGTACTACAGTTGGAAACATCTCTCCTTATATATAATTGAGTAGTGGTCCCACAACGTTCTATGCACTCCAAAATTAGTTGGCTTCGTGATGTGTCAGTCACAAGGTGTCTCTACCCACTGGCTGTGTTGCCTGAGTTCTCTCCCACCTACTGCAGCCTAGGCCACTCTTCTCTGATTGGGCCAGCGTTTCAAGGTCATTTGCATATGGAAGCTGACTGGACTTCACTCCATTCCGCACCTCAAACTCCCTCCCCGCCATGAGACAGTTGGAACTGTCAGTTGCATATGGGACCTGCTGTATTCGAAGGTAAAATATGTCCTCACTCACAATACATCACTTCCCCTTAAAAAGAAACAAACCCAATAACACAATCATGGCAAACCCCAAAAAAGACAGACCACACCACAAGCAGAAATACCACAAGGCAAAAAATGATAGGAAAAGGTGCCAGCAGTCACCCCATTACTGCCACAGACATGTGGCAGTCAGGGCTTCAGAGCACGGTGGGGGCCTGCTGGTGGTGGTGGGGGGGAATGGAAAGCTGATCAATGAGGGGGAAATGTAGGTTGATGCTTGGCTGGGAAGTAGATAGGGTTGCCAACTCCAGATGGGAAAATCCTGGAGATTTGAGAGATGGAGCCTGGAGAGGGTGAGGTTTGAGGAGTGGGGCCATAGACTCTGCCCTCCAAACCAGCCATTCCGTAATGGGGAACCACTGTTGCCAATCTCCAGGTGGGGGCTGGAGATCACTCAGAATTACAACTGCTCTCCAGATGGCATTGATCAGTTCCCCTGGAGAAAATGGCAGACTCTGTGTCCTTATACCCTGCTTAGGTTGCCATGGCAAATTGATTCTGAGTGCCCACGGCCTTGACACTCTCCCAGAGCCTCTTTCTAGCACTCATTGTATTTATTTCCACAATGGGCCTTATTCCTAGTATATAAATAAATGAAAAGCATAAATAAATAAATGAGAGCAAATTAGCTGTGTTAGAGATACGGCAATGCTTTCTCATGTGGTTACACTGGACTCCCTGTAAGCTGGCAAAATGCTTGCAAAATTTATAAGAAATGAGAATCACTGCCTTTAAACTGTCAATCTGTAGGTACCTTGCCAGTTTAGGGGATGTAATCCCCTCTTTCTTTGGCAAAATGCATGCAAATTAACTGTTCTACCAGCATTTTAACTTTTCACAACATGTCTGAAAACCAAGGGGAAAGATGCTTTGCACATCTGATGAAAAACAGCTCAACTGAAGTTGAAATACATACTGAATTTTATCTACCTTCAGTTGTATAAACATGATTTTACATTATTATGATACAGTCAACTAGAGCCTAAGAACTGTGCCCTGGGCACTCATACCACTGAGAGCTAAGAACCTTATTTGTATGTCCTCTGTACACTTTTTGATCTTACACGATGGGGAACCTTCTCATAAACTGACAGGCATGCAAATAATCCCCTCTTGAGGAGGCATAAGCATCTCTCCACCCAGATGTTGCAATGTGTACATGCTACTCCCCCCCCCCCACAGACACACATTACTTAGAGCTGGCCTTCTGTCAAATCTGCATATGCACACCCCTCTTTTAAAGGAACCGCTTTGCCTCTATGACACGGGAATTTATACTAACCAACCTGAAGCTTTATTTCAAATCCGCCATGCTACATTCATTGCCATACAGCTTGTGAATAAGGATAAGCTGCAAAAGGTGATCAGTGGTTTCATCACAAGGGGCAACTTTACACCCAAGCTACATTAATGATTATATTACTTGGCTCTTGACATCACCTCCCAGACATACTGAAATTAACAGTATAGCATTAGCTTACTTCTGCAGCAATGAGTTTTTGAACTTTTCAGCATTCAGTTCTATTCGTAGCTGCTCGGCACTCTTTCTGGCAGTAGATAACAGTGCAGAATGCTTGACCAGAGCAACTGCTGAGGGTCTTTTCTCTGGATCAGGGTTTATCATAGCCTAAAAGAAGTGATGAGATTAAAATAATTTGCGTATTAAATGAAATACCCCCATTTGTGTTTGTATGTTTGTGTGTTATGAAAAATATTTTTTTAAAAAGATTAAAACAATGGCTGACTACACTTTCCAATCCAATCAATCATTTATCATAGTAATAAAGCAGCAGCTTACTTTTAATAAGTCTAAAAACTCTTGAGAAAGGACTTGTGGAATTCTAGGCAGTTTTCCCTGTCGAATTTCATGCCACTGGTCTCCATTGGCTGGTAGTGGTTCAGCACCGGCAGCACACACTACTGTTAGTGCAAGAGCAAATATATCCGCTTTTGGCAAGTGACTATAATTCTGCAGGCAAAAGAAAATTTAGTTTTATGTCCAGAATACCAGCAGTGCACACATCAACGGTCAGATGAGTTAAATATTTAGCCTCAATAAACAAAGCATCAAATACCTCTTGTAAAACTTCATTAGCAAGGAAACGACTATCTCCTTCTTCCACCTGTGGACTGGATATTCTAGTCACATGACCAAGATCACCTACATGAAACAATAAAGTGGAAAGAATTATTTTCTCAGAAGGGGGAAAAAAATGTTGTAGAAGCACACACAATTCCATGATCCCTTACCTATTTTAAATACAACATTGCTAGATGACCATTCATCATCATCACCTTCTTCTGGTATAGTAGCTGGAATTGATGTCCTAGATATGAAAATATTACCTGCCAAGGAATAAACACACTTAGAAATCTAGGTCAAAATGTAATCTAGCTTCATGGCTACTAAAATTTATCTCTCTCAACTTGCGCCTTCATTTAATGAGCAAAAATACAAACAGTTGTACAGGAAAGAAGCAAAGATACAGTCAACAAACAAACATAAGACTGCAAAAAAGGCCAAAGATAAGTACATTTATTACCAAAGAGTAAATACTTCAGAAAATACCAAGCCATTGAATACTTACTGGGCTTTATATCCATGTGTACCAGTGACATTGAATGAATATACTTTAAGCCACGAGCAACTTGTAATAGCAGATCTTTCAGCTCTGTTTCGCTAAAGTAGCGCATATTTCTAGAGTTTTCACTTATGGCATCTGCTAAACTGCCGCCTACAAACCAAAATAAAGTATGTTAAAAGGAAAGCAATTAGCTTGCAAAGCTACCATAATGCATGCTCCATTTACATTCTTATCAGAACTGTTACAAAAGATTTCCACTTTTCAAATAGTTCGTTCAAATTCAAGTTATACATATTAATTCACACAGGATTTAACTACAGGTCCTCTTATATATGTAAAACATTTACGCAACCCTACAGAGAGAGTATGGTTTAATGACTGACAGAAATCAGCACCATAGCCCCTGTTCAGATTTCAGCCACTCTGAATTTAGCAAGCCATGATCTCTCATCCTCCAAACTCTAATATAGCAAAATTGCATTTAATATTGTTCTACCACAGACCTGGATAGCCCAGGCTAGCCTGATCTCGTCAGATCTCGGAAGCTAAGCAGGGTTGGCCCTGGCTAGTATTTGGAAGGGAGACCTCCAAGGAATACCAGGGTTATGACGTGGAGGTAAGCAATGGCAAACCAAGCAGTTTCACGTACATGTTGAACAGCATTTGAAGGGGGGGGGGGACAGAATCCCCCAGTAATTTAAATGCCTTAGGGTTGAACATTTGCTTCCCAGCACTGCTGTCTGGAATCAGTGAACCAGGTATGAGCAGAACTACTACAATGCAATACCCCAGTCCTCATCTAAATCAACCAATCCAAAAGGATACCGTGCACAATGGTACTAAAAGCTGTCCAGGGGAATAATAGGGACGCATTCATTTCTCAGCAAAGGTAACTTATTAGGGCAATAAGGCTATTTCAGCTACAAAATTAAGCCAGGAAGCAAACTAAAATGGCCCCAGATAAATCACCTCATGATTTGCCCAGCCCCCACTTACTCAAGCACCTTGTCTAAAAAGGGGACATGCCATGAGGCAAAAGTGGTCAAGATCATTTGGTTTAGGGAAGGCTTCTTCAGAAGATGTTTCACAGACACTTCCATCAAGGAGGCCAGCACTGCAGCCCTCCTTTAATGAATCATTCACTGCCCCCTACAGCCAGCACAACAATCCCTTTTGGCTAGATGCCATAAGGGCAAGGGTTGAGCACTGAAGTGGTAGGCCAAACTCCTCCAAACAACTTGTTGTGTAATTCACCCTAACTATTATAATTAGAGAGCATTGTAATCTTATTCTGAGATTACCAATCAAAGCAGTTTCAGCATCAAATAATTTGACACATTCTACCAATGCTTCCTCTAAGCTGTGGAGTCATGTGAGCAAAAATTCTACTTTGTGAGCTACTGGCATTAAAGCTGTGAGCAAGTGATTTGGCTGCTGCATAAATTAGCTTGCTCTGGAGCCATCCTTCCTGAGCTAAGACAAAAATGTGTGAGCCGGAGATTAAAAAACTGTGAGCTGGCTCACACTGACTTTGCATTCTACATTGATATGAAAAACTATGAATGCAAGTGTTCTGTTGTATTTTGTGTAGATTTAACACTCTGTCAGACTCCTGCAACAATCAGAATCAACGACTCACTTCTTCAGAATACTGATACCGTATTGGCAGGGCATCTCTACTTCAAGTTGTGTGTTAAGACTAAAGCATAAAGTGTGGGGTGAATAGACATACAGGGTTCAAAGGGGTGACTGAACCAATCAAGGAGTAAGAAGGGGGCCGCCAGAAACTAACGGCCCTGCATTCCCAGAGATGATGTTACAGCCAGGAAGCAAGGTCAGGCACATAAAACATTTAGATGAGGGAGCATCACCCAGACAGCAAGAGAACAAAAACGGAAACATTCCAAGCAGCGCCACCCCGCCCCCATACCAGACCCTATGGCAGCGAGCTGACAAATAGGTATTTTTAATTACCGTTACAATACTCATTCTGTATCAGCATATGGTCATCTTCTGCCCAAGCTGAGAAGTATCTGACTACATGTGAATGCTGTCCCAAGACTGCATGGGCATAGACCTCTCTGAGAGCATTTTGCCTGCAATATTGAAACCATATGTTAATTTAAGATTAAATAAGGTATGAGAAGTTAGCAAACCATGCTGTTATCACCAAAGCTACAGAAAAGCCCTTCCATGAGGGTGGGGGCTCCCACCAAATTCCCCCACTACTCCTCTAACTCTTGGATAAATTCATATGGAGGAGGGACTTAGTGGCCTGCAATGGGAAAGTTCTATTCTGCTCCTACTACATTGGATTAAATCCATACTTTTCTTTAAATAGATGAGACACACCTGCCCAACATGTTCCATGGTACAACTACCTAGAGTGGAAACTGCAGACAGTCTTCTAATCAAAGCATGTAGAATTATAACAGTAGCATTGCAGACCCAACTACATCTGTTTGTTTTGGATGTAACCCGCAGGGCAAAGATTTTGGTATGACAGCTACATACATACATACATAAGAGAAGTAAAATACAAGAACACAGGCAATGACCATTTAACCTTGACTAATACTTACTCATCAATTGAGCCAGCTAAGGGCTTCTTAGATCGTTTTATGGCATAAATGCAGCCATCAAGCCTCTTCACACATTTGAATACTGAACCAAATTCTCCAGACCCAATCTTCTCCAATTCATGAAATTCTGTTGCATATCGTGATTTCATATTACTTTCTGTTATGCTGATTCGCTAAAACAACACAGACAAAAATAAAATAAAATCTCCATATACGTACACACACACACACACATACATATATATATAAACAATCACAATAAAATTTAAGCAAGCTTAGAATTAAACCATTGGCTGTAAATAGGGATTTCTTACTTTGGCAGGTCTGACAGTTTCATCCTCAAGCTCTCCATCACTTGCTTCCATGTCCTCACCACAGGAGCTGGAAAGTCAACATACATTATTTAAAAAATAAGTAGGAATCCTAGGAAACCTTAACCTTGGCAAAGTAAGATGCAAGTTTCCACTTTTCCAAAAATGTACCCAATGTACTCAAATCTGTGTGAAAACCAAATGTTGCGGCAGTGGTTACCTGCCCTGAGTCTTTATGTTCTCACATGCCTGTTGCATGTTGGCCTACATGTGAAGTTAACACAGATTGGGTATATTCCCTTGACATGATTTATTGATTAAACTTCTACCCCACCCTCCCAGCTGAGGCCGGCTTCCATAAAACATAGAATTTACAGCACATATAAAACAGATTAAACAGCAACAATTAAAACAATTAAACAATTCTAAAACTATTTAAACCATAAGACATAATAAAGTGTTAGTATCAGTAATTTCACAGCAGTTGTTGTTACTCAATGCCCTCTCCTCGCCGGCTCCTTGATCTTCTCAGATCGTCTTAGGCGGCTAGCTCAGGCTGTAGTTAAAAAGCAGCATCTTGCCCAAATAGGGAACACAGCCGACAGGTCTAACAGCAACAGCACTGCCGATTCACCCCAATCCAGATGCCTCCGGAGGTCATCCATGAGGGCGACCAGTGCTGTCTCCATTCCATGGCCCAGGCGAAAGCCGGACTGGAAGGGGTCTAAGACGGAACCGTCATCCAAGAAGCCTTGTAACTGAGCAGCCACTGCCCTCTCTATTATCTTGCCCAAATAGGGAACCTGTTTAGTTTCATACTCAAAGTCCTCCAGGGTGATTGCCAAGCACATTAGCGTCTGATTTTTCTTCTGCATGTTTCAGCCACACTAGAGGTGAATGATCTATCTGTAGCAGGAAAGGCCACCCACACAGGTAAGGCTGCAGCAGCTCTGCAGCACAGACAATAGTAAGACACTCCTTCTCTATAAGTGTAGTTCTGCTCTCGCGGCAGTACGGTAGCTTCCTACTCAAAAACGCAACAGGACGCAGTCCTCACCCCCCCCCCCCCCCAAAACAAAAAAAGAACCCGAAAGAAAACATAGCCCAGGCCTCTTTTCAAAGTATCTGTCCTGAGAGTGAATGGCTTCTGCAAGTCGGGGGACTGTAAGGCAGGTTTTGCCACAAATTTGGCTTTAGGAGTTTCAAACACCTGATGACTTGGGTCAGCCCAGTCTACCTTGCATGGTTGGCATTTTTAGTTAAAGAAGCAGCAATCTCACTGTACTGCTTCACAGAACATCTGTAATGTCCTCCCATCCCAAGAAAATATTTTAACTGCTTCTTGGTGGTTGGCAGTGGCCATTTTTCAATCGCTTCTATTTTGGATACCAGGGACTGTATGTGACCCAAATGTGCAACTTCTGGCTGGCAAAACTGACACTTGCAAACTTTCAGGTGAGACCACCTTTTGCTAGTGCTGCAATACATTCTGTACATGCTCCAGGTGCTCCTCCCAAGAACCAGAAAACACAGCAATATCATCCTAGTAATGCCACAGCAGCCTTCTTAATAAGCAGTTTATTAGGGTTATGCTATTAGAGCATTTTTCAAACCAAAGGGCAACAGCCCCAGGTGAGTAGGACAAGCTTATTTGGCCTGTGCTTCAAGTACCAACCCAATTTGCCAATACCCTTTTGATAAAATCCAAAGTACTTATTTTGCCTCTTCACAGCGTCTAAAAGGCCATACATCCAAGGCATAGGGCATTTATCTGCCTGACTAATAATCTTCAACTTTCTGTAATCTACAAAAAACCACATGTGTCATCAGGCTTCTTGACTAGGACAATTGGAGAACCCCAGCTCTCAGATAGGGTAGTTACCCCCAATTACAGCATCTCTTTGATCTTTCTCTGTACACTCAGCCTGCTTTCCTATGGCTCTGTAAGATACAGAAGTAATTGGAGGGGGGAGGGGACTCTGTTATCAAAAAAGCACGCTCAGCTAGTGTGGTCTTTCTGGAATTGTGAAAGAAAATTGGGGCAGATGTGACCACTCCTTGCATCTTAGTCCTCTGAACAGTAGTCAGACCAGAGGATAAGTGTTGGATCCCCTCCCCTCTGCTCTCATTACACAGATCAAGGCCAGCCCCCTTCATTCTTTTCCAAAATCTCGCAGCTTTCTTCCTGAGCAACCCAGTGTCTCCTGACTCCCATTACTGTTCTGCTTCTGTTTTAACACAGCCCTCTCCCTTGTTCTCCTCCAGGGAACACAGGGATCGTGGCTAGTCCTCTTTCAAGGACAGCTCCTGGACAGAAAGGGGGAGTAGGAGTGTGCGTGCACTCAGCGGCTAGCTGGCCATGTCTAATGACACCTAGGGGATACCTTTCCCCTGCCTAATGATTACCCATAGATGAAACATGAAGGATGTCTTTGATGGACAGCAACTCCTCAAAAGCCCGTCCACCCCCTACACAAAACCCTTGCCGTAGTCAACTTACAGACGGAGATCACAAAAGGTTCCATGAAAGGATCTGCTCTGGGCCATCTCTTCAGCAACTTCTGTGCTCAAATTGCAAAATGGCCCCAAGCTTCCCCAGCCTCTGCATCTGACACACAGTTTGCCTGCCCATTCTTGGTGACAGCCCCAAACATATACATGCTCTGATTCTGAACTTTTCAAAGTCATTCAATTGTTTAGCTCCACTTCCCCAAACAAAACCAACAGCCCCCCTCCAACCTAAAAATGTACAAGGTGCAGAAACTCTGCTCTGGGCAGGTTCTGCTCCTCACAAGTATTTTCAAAGTTCACCAGAAACCGTTCCAAATAATTGCCCTCAACATATCTGGGTAGTCTCTTGAAATCCACTCTTCCAAGTTCATTTTTTTTTGGGGGGGGGAGGAACCATCTGCACACATTCCCCCCTCCCTGCCGGGCTTGTTCAAGCCTCACTCTACATCTCCTACTCACATGCACGCTGCCTCTCAGTTTCCTCAAGGTCCAACTTCCTCATTTCGATTTACATTGCTCGCATTTTCTTCTCCTGGGCCATGCCGGCCTGATAGTCAGGATCAGCACTCACTTCGGAGCTTTCAGGATGGCTCACCCTGGGCTGATGGGGGATACAGCCTCTGCCTCCCTCTGGCCATCCAGCTCTGCTACCGCTGAAGTTGTTGCTCTGATCTCCTGCCAGCTCTGACTCCCCAACTGCACACACATGCTGTCTGCGACCCGTGACTCTCCCCACCCTCTGAGGAAAAGCAGCTAGGCTTCCCCCCCCCCCCCCCCCCCCGGGCCTTTCTGTGCATGTCCCACACAGTTTGCTTTCGCTCATGTGTTCCTGGTCACTACCATAACCCTATCCAAAATGTCCCCAGAAATCAAAATTTTCTGTCCAACAGGACCATGGTTTTCCCAACAGTTTGCTGGGGAACAGTTTGTCTCATCCAAACTCCAGACTGTGTCAAATCCTTAAATCTGTGTGCACTCACATACATGTTGCATGTTTGCCTGAATGTAAAAGCATGTCCCCTCTTCTTGTGCCACTACCCCAAGTTAGAAAACCCAGCCTATCACATAACCAGTGCCTTTGGGGACTCTGGTAAGGCTGTCTTTGGGCAAGTATAAAGGGGCAGAACATTCCAATCACTTTAGCCCTTCCTCCATGTTCTTAGTGTATATGAGCAGTCTAGGTGTGTGGGTAGGAACCGAATCACAGGCTGCTTTCTTAAGAAGGAAAGACGCTTTATTACTACAGATTAAGGTAAAGCACATACATGGGAAATAGCTGTGATGTCTACTTAGTACAGATCTAAGGAAAAGTATGTTAAAAACACATTAAATCTAGTTAAGTTACACTACAAGAAAGTTATCTTTGCCCTGACCTGGATAGCCCAGGCAAGCCCGATCTCATCAGTTCTCGGAAGCTAAGCAGGGTTGACTTTGACAAGTACTTGAGCCTGCTTGTCAGGCAAGGCGGGATAGAAATCGAAATTAATAATAAATAAATAAATATTTGGATGGGAGACCTCCTTGAAATACCAGAAATGGAGGCAGGCTTTATTTAGCCACCTCTCTGAATATCCTCCAGGCCCCCAGTAGGGGTCAGTCACCAGAGGTCGCCATGACTTCCAGGTGCACACACACATGCTCATATCAAAAAAATACCAACCCCCCCCCCAACCAAACAAAAAAAGACAGATCTTTGGTGGAACAAACACAATCCCAGCCCCCCTCCTGTTCCCTGGACAGAAGACACTTGACGCACACTAGCTACAGCTAAGTGCAACACTGTTTTCTTCTTCAGTCTTCTATGCAGACCCACATTTGAGACATCATAAGCCACTTGCCAGAGGAGGTGGGGTGAACTGCTAGACCGGATGGTGGATACACAAACTGTGAATATAACACAGCTTTCCCCACTGCTGATTCTTGATAAGAGTCTATGTCCACAGAGCATGGTGCTGAATGAAGGTGTTAGCTGAGGTCCATCTTGCCACTTTGCAAACCATGCCATCAAGGTGAACACCACAAAGAAAGGCAGCTGACGACACGAAGGCCCTGATGGAATGATGGGACAGGTGACCCCAGCATGTGGGTAACAAAGAATAGTTTAATATAATAAAGCCCCTTTGAAGTCCAGTGTGTGAAGTGCTTTTTCACTAGGTGAGGAGGGATTTGGATAAAAGACAGGCAACTAAATCACTTCTACTTTATGAGCTACTGGCATTAAAGTTGTGAGCAAACGATTTGGCTACTGCATAAATCAGTTTGCTCTGGAGCCATTCTCCTTGAGCTAAGACATAAATGTGTGAGCTGGAGGCTAAAAAACTGTGAGGTAGCTCACACTAACTCTGCTTAGAGGGAACACTGGTGGCATCACCCTAGCTAGCACCAGGGAGAGGCTCCACTAAGGAACCAGATCACCTGCCCGGATGAGCCCATCCCATTCGCTTGGAGGCCCACACAGTTCTCTCCTTTAGACGGACGTCTTCCTACTACAGACTGCAAAGGCCAGGAAGCGGCGGCAGGTCCTCCAGGGCCCAGAGAGTCCGGGAACCTTGGTAGGAAGTCAAGGGGTTGGGCCCCAAGAGGCTCCACTGTAGCTACAGGCCTGATTTATCCTGTTCGTAAAGGAAGTGAGAGCAAGGCGGATCATTCTAAGTTCCAAGACATTGATGTGTATGGCAGATTCATGGGGGTGGGAGACCATGTACCTTGAATGGATACCTTCCCAGGATGTGCTCTTCAACCCCTAAGGGAGGCATCAGTAGACAGGGCAACTGTTGGTCATTGGAACCCAAAAGGAGGGCCCTGCATCAGACTGGTCTCCTCAGCCCACCGAAGTAAAGACTTTATAATACACCTAGGGACAATTTGGCATTTTGGGAATGAACCTGGGGGTTGATATGCTCGCAAGAACCAATTTTGGAGGGGTGACAACCTTAACCTGGCAAAAGATACAGCCACAGTTGTAGAGGCCATTAAGCCCAGAATTTTTTGTATCATAAATATGGATTGGAACCACTGTCGTTGGAATTTATGTATCATGGTTTGTGCTAGCACATATCTTTTAAAACTGCAGAGCTTCATTTTTTTGCATGTTGCAGAATTCTGTAAACAGTCAATCAGCAATTTTCATACTATTAAAGTCAGGGGTCATTTCATAGAAAAAGAGCTAGGGGAACTCATTAGCATAACTCATTAGCATATGCCACACCCCCTAACATCACCAGAAGTGTGTCATAAGGCCACACCCCCTGACATCACCGGAAATGTGTCATAAGGCCACACATCCCGCCCCCAACGGTCCCGGCCGCCACCGCCGGCCTTGCAGCTCCACTGCCGAGCCCCATGAGGGGCCCGGCGGTGGACCTGCAAGGCTGGCGGGAGTGCAAGGAAGCCCCGCGAAGGCCTTCCCTGGCCCCAGGCAGGCAGGGGTGGGGAGAGGCAGGGAGGAAGCAACTTACCCTCCCTCTTCTCCTGCCTCCTCCTGGCTGAATGAGGGCCGGAAGCGGGGCAGCCGGAAGCGGGGCAGCCGGAAGCAGGGGGCGGGGCTTCGTCATGTGCCTCGCCCCCGTACCTCACCCGGGGGAACTGCGTTCCCCCACGATCCCCCCCGAAATGACCTCTGATTAAAGTGCATCTATTTCTGAAGTCGGGCCATCAGCATTACTGAGTAGAAATAAATAATACTCTACTCACTGAGGCTTTATTTCTACTCTCCAATTCTGATGGCCGGACTTCAGAAACAGATGCACTGAAACCCCTTTCCCATGTTTTCTGCCCTCTTGGTGCATTTTATTGCCCTTCTCTTGTGGAAATCAACAGTAGCCAGTCTAAGGGATTCTTCAAGGTGCCTCAAGGCATTTGTGGTTAGACATTAAAGCACTGGAATAGGATCTGGGAGACCATGGCACAGATCCCCATTCTGTCACTGGTGACCCTTGGCCAGTTCACACAAACTCAGCCTAGCCTTCCTCATAGGGTTGTTTCGATGTTAAAGTGGAGGAGAGAACAACACAAGTCACTTCTGTTCCCCAGCGGGCAGAAAGGCATAAATAAATATTTTTCCTCCACCCAGCTGAAGGCATTTCACAATAATAAGGAAGATGAGGATTCAGTCAATACAGCCAAGCTGCCTCAAGGGAGCAGAATTCACCTGGATACATTATACCAGTTGACAGTATACTTATCTCAGCAAAGTAAGATATGCACATACTTTTGTCAATTACAGAGACGAAAGGACTGAGACCCCTTGATAAATGTGGGGGAAGGGACAAGAAAATAAATGTGAAACAGAACATAGATCTGATCTACAATGGAACCTGGAACTATACTAACTGCAAAAACTCCCTGTTGTATAAGCATAACACCCTACCAGCTGGGGGCAAAACTGAAGTACTTATTTGTGATCTGCTGTGACATTCCACATTTCTCTGATGCCTCTCACAACCAGCAGGTTTTCTTGACTTGTGATAACACAATGATATATATAACTATTTCACTGTGTCATCAGAAGCTTAGGAAAACTGTCACTGGTACTACATGAAGAAAGAACTAAATATCCATCCATCTCCAGCAGCCATGTGTTTTATTATTCTGATTCCCTGATTTATCTAAAAGGCTGTCAAGAAAAAGGAGGGTGTGTCCTGTTTACAAAATTTGTATACTGCCTTTCTACCCTTACAAGGGCCACCAAGGTGTCTAACAATTTAAAACATATGATAAAATCACATTCTAAAATCATGAAAATCCACCACCCCCAAAACACACATCATTAAAGAACTAAAAACAGAGTTAAAATACATAAAACAGCAAATTAAAACGCTGGTTAGGCCATGAGCTGGAGATCCCAGGCAAATCAGATCACAGAAGCTAAGCACGGCCAACCCTGGCAAGTATTTGGATGGGAAATCTTCAAAGAATACAAGGTTCAGGAGGCAGGCCATCAAGCCACTACTCCGAATGTCCTCCATACCCCAGTAAGAGTCACCAGAGGTCACCAGGACTTCCAGGCACAGGCACACAAATGCAAAAAAACCCCAAAAAAACTGGTTAGGAAGTGTATAGAAATATTGATTTCTAAAAGTCCATGCCTGCTCCTGTGATTACATTCTGATAACATGCTGTGTCTTATTTCCTCTCGTACCTCACCATTTGGCCAGAGAAACTTTATAACCATGCCATACAACCACACATTCTTTCACACCTCTAAGGGAAGAGGCAGACCTGATGGCTTCTGGCTCTGCCTCACATGCAAAAAGTCACGTCAGCAATGGAGAAGCTGGAGTTTGGGGTCATGTGACTGCAGGCGTGGTCTCCAACCCTCTAGCCTATCCACACACGTAGCCATGACAACCAAAAATTGGGCACATCCCCTGTCTGCTCCTGGTTGGCTGATGGCCACAGCTGATCATTATTGGAATTGGGTTTAATTGTCTGATCCCAACAAGGGAGAGTTTTGTTCTGCTCCTGTTCTCTCTACTTGTTTTATTCTACCTGGAAAATGCTGTCTCTCTGGGAGACAAAGAACTGTTTTGTGAGCTGAGCACATGGTTGGCAAAGATGGGATTTCTCCTACTCAAAATCCCTTGGTGCTACTCTGGACTGTTTGGATTTTCCTGAACTTGGTAAATATGCATCTTGTACTGTGTACTTAAGGCAAACAGCCCTAGCCTTTCTTGTTTTGAAATCTTTCATAGTTTACTTGCAATGCTCTGGACTGAATAAAAATTATTCTTATTTCTAACTTGTCTTTGATGTTGTAACTGGGATTCCAAGTCTATTTCCTGTGCCTAACTGACCACAAGCTACCATAGAGCATTCAGTGTGCATCTCTGGGAATGAGGTGCTAATGTGTTAAGCCCTAGATGCCAACTGACATTTTGAACCTCTAATCTCAGGTTGGGGGGGGGGGCATTATTGTAGAGGTTCTGGTGGCATATTGTTCTGAATCCAGAGAGGGTAGCCTACCTCTGTGGGTTGTTGTTTAATGTACTGCACAAGTGCAGGATTCTCTCTCATCCCTGGACAGGCGTGGGTGGGCTATCCTGTACAGGAAGGAAGGATCATTGAGGAAATGCCAAACAAAACAAAAAAGTCAGCGACAGAAGGGGGCAGACGAATCTTTCTGGGAAGAGAGTTCCAAGAGTTTTGGTGCCATGATCAAGAAAACCCTCTCTTCAGTTGTCACCCCCCTAATCTCAGAAGGCAGGGGCACCCAAAACAAGGCCTCTGAAGATGACCATAACTGTCAGGCAGGTTCATAAGGCATTAGGTAGTCCTTCAGGTATGTTAGTCCCAAACCATATAAGGCTTTAAAGCTCAGGACCAGTATCTTGAATTGTGCCTGGAAACAAACTGGAAGCCATCATAGATGAGCCAAGACTAGAGTGATAGAAAGCCATTTGGATCCACTTTGCTGTGGGGACAGGTCATCTTAATAGATCCCCACCCCTGCAGATTCTGGGTATCCCTGTAAGTCTAAACCCAAGCAGGTAGAGAACTATCCATGACAAAGGAATTGTCATCAGTTTCCTTCTTCCCCAAAAAAATGCCAGATAGAGAGTATGACCTACGCAATGTGTAGGACCAATTACTACCTGCAACAGGTCCATGGTTATCATGGAAGCCATGAAATCCAGAGCCACAGCATGAATTCTGAAGTAGCCCAGAACAACCCAAGACCAGCTCTCTCAGCACAGGTAGGGAGACTTTCAGGCAACATACTGACAGAGTCCTAATCCTCTCTCTCAATCTCAACATTAGAGAGATTAGTTGCCTCAAAACCAGTAGTATCCAGGACTGGACATCATGCTAGGGGGACAGAATCATTTCAGGCTACAACAGCATCACCTCCGCGCCTGCCAGGCCTATGCTGATGTATCACCAAGTATCCCTGGGTGAGGTTAACTCCTCATCTCTCCACATCCAAGTCGTAAATTCATACAGTTATTGTTCTTTCTTTTGAATAAATATAGTAGTTTGTCCTTGACGTTGAATAGAACCTGTAAAACCTATTTCACCATTTTAAACGACTACACATTTCAGGGTGTGGTTGTAAAAAAAACCTCTCAGGACATTAAAGTACCTGCCCCACTTACATCGCCTTGAAGATACTAGTAAAATACAGTTTCCTCGAATTCTAAGATCGCAAAATTTATTTATATTAAGCTTATTCAATCCAAAATGGTTAAGCAAAGGGCCAGCTTTGATACTCACTCATTCCAATGTGTTCTTTTTCTCCTGCGACACTGTCCGATTGAAGACTGGAGGAAAAGGGAGTCTGGAGTGAAGGGATTAATGTTCACATGAGGCGCCTGTCGCATGTCCACCTCCTGTTTCTCTAGCCTTCCCACATTCATAAAGAGAGAGCCACCACGGAGTTTAGCTGAACTTGAGCCCATTCCTTGAGCTCTACAAAGTAGACTCTGAAAAAACAGACACTATTAGCGTGACAAGCAGGTTGTTATATCAACTGCCAAATTAATGACTATTTCAACCTAACACATTATTAAATGTTCAAATCACACATCTGTACTCAGAATTATTTTATGAGGCGGATTCTCGCCTGGCCAAGGGGTGCACCAGTGGCATTAATGAGGGCTGAACTGGGAATTACCTAGTTGAATGCCAGAGTCAATGTCAGAATTCTATCTTATTGGAGAAAATGCTTAGAACGACCCCAGGATTCCCTGGGGGGTTTAAGTTTTAGTGTGCACTAGGGATGTGCATTTCGGGATCCCGAGCCGAAAAAAAAAAGCCGAAAATAACGATTTTCGGCTTTTTTCGGCTTTTGGGATCCCGAATTAGCAATTTATGAGCTTGTCCGAATCCCGAAAAAAAATCCCGAAAAATTCGGGTCCATTATAACCAATGGGGCCATTGAAGTCAATGGCAAAAATCCTCTTGAAACTTTGTGGGGGGCTGGGGGGGAGGGGGTTTGGGGTAGAGGCTCCAAACTTGGAGCGTGCTTACTGGAACCTCTCCCCAACATAACGAATCCCGAAAAAAAATCCCGAAAAATTCGGGTCCATTATAACCAATGGGGCCATTGAAGTCAATGGCAAAAATCCTCTTGAAACTTTGTGGGGGGCTGGGGGGG